TCAATTGATGATTCCGTTTTTAACGTCAGATTAAGAGATTATCTCCTAACAAAGATAATTGCAGTTGGATTCGACTCGCCCCCGTATTCATATGTCCTAGTTTGTAAAAAATCTCCGGAGATTGTATAAAAGCAATTAACACAGTTCTAATCGCCGGGTCCGAGGTTCAACGCATTCTTCGAGATAACGATAGCCTGTAATCACAATAAGTAAATTTACATATCTAATGGAGTCCTTACTGTGGCACACATCTGTGTAAACAAGCAGAGAGCCGGCTGCCGATGAAGGATTTAAAAAATTCCAAGTATGCAGGGAAGTGTTTGACTCATAAATAAGTAACTATATGTGAATCAGGTATTTTTCTGTTATAATCATGAAATTTTTTAGATCACGGAATTTTTTAATGACTGTTCACTTTGTTAAATAATTATGGTCTTTAAAGCAATAGGAAAGTGGAACTCTTTCATGGAAGAAAGTTTTATAGTTTAGAAACTCTCCCAGAAAGTTTTCGGGAGTGTTCATAGGAAACTTTCCATGATCAGTAATTTCTGATAAAAAAAAAATATATAAAATAGCTACGTATATAACTTACAGATTATCTTTGTAAACTTTCCCAGAAAGTTTTAGAAAATCTGCTCGGCAATATTTCCATGCAAAATAATTTTAGTTGAAAAAGTAAACATAAAAATAGCCACAAGATGTGTAGGAGATTAATGAGGACTTTATAAAAAATTATAAATATTCGGGAAACTTTCTCAAGTATCAATTCGTTTATTACATGTACCGTATTCCATGAAAACTTTCTACGAATTTTCCTAAAAGTTTAAAGTAGAGAGAAGATATTTTTAATTTTCAGAACTGGTTCTTAATGTTCAAAGTAGGGACTTTTTAGTAAACTTTCTCTGGATTTCTAGTGCCCGTACAGTTAATCTATAAGTTGTTTATTACTTATTATATTTCATGATAACTTTCTGACAAACTTTCCAAAGTGTAAAGAAGGATCTTTATAGGAAGGAATTTCAGTATTTAGGGAACTTTCCTCGGTATCTCTAGTGCACATACAACATATCAGTAAGTCAATTGTATCTTATAAGGAAAAATTCTGAGAACTTTCCAAAAAATTTAAAATAGAAACTTTATGGGAAAAAAACTGTCAATATCCAGGAAACTTTCTCTGGACTTCTAGTGTCCCCATGAACTAATTGTTTATCATGTACTATATTTCATGGAAACTTTCTGGAGATTTTCAAAATGTTTAAATAGAATACTTTCTAGGAAAACACGTTCAGTATTCAGCAAACTTTTCTAAATATCTCTAGTGCCCGTACAATATATCAATAAGTTTATTGCGTTTTATATTTCAAGAAAACCTTCTGAGAACTTCCCAAAAACTGAATGTAAAAACTTTATGGGGAAAAAACTATTAATATCGAGAAAACTTTCTCAGGAGTAGTATCCCTATGAACTAATTGTTTATTATATACTATATTTCATGGAAACTTTCTGGGAGTTTTCCAAAATGTTTACAGTAGAATACTTGCTAGGAAATAACTTTCAATATTCAGAAAACTTTCTCGTGATTCAAAATTTTTCTGTGATATTATCAATGAAGTCCTCCTATTTTTGTTATTTGAATGAAAAAGTAAAATTTCCACTGAGTAAGTTTATTATTACACCCTTCGTAGTTTCAGTAATATAATAAGAAAGTTTCCTAAAGCTTTTAATGTCTTTCAAGAAAACTTTTACGTGACTTTCCAAAAATGTTAAAGCTTCCCGCTTCACCTCAAAACAAGTTTTCTTTAAACTATCACTGTTTTAAAAGTATCCGATGAAGTACAAAGCTAAAACGAACGCCCTGTACGGGAGATACGCCAGCGAGAACAAGCGCTTCCAGTCGGCAACGATAACGATACCGAATACCAGAGAATCCATTTAACCTAATTGGTCCCTTTTTAAGCGGACGCCAACAGACGCGGCCGCCCCGATTAATTGGAGCGCGACCGTACATTGTTTTTCGGCCGGAGCATCGCCACCGCTGATTTTTAGACCGGAACGGAGAGATGTAGGCGTTTCCCGGGCGACGACAGGTGCGAGATATCGCGGGCGTTGAAACAACGGGCATAGTTCAAGCCGAAAAGAACGAAAAGTACGTTGATTGGCACTTTATTTTTTAGTAATTGACAAGAGAGGGGATCTGGTCTGTGCGTAAGCGTGCATACGAGCATATGTCCGATGACGTCACAACCAACTGCACGGCATTGCGATCCCAACTGAAATTGTTTTCTTTTTTTTTATCGAAACACAGAAGCAGTCTATTAAGGCCGCTCTCGTTTCTCCATCCTTCGTTTTTATCGTCGAGAGAGGAATTCAGGCCCTGTTAATGGACTAAATGGGTTGTTCCGATTAACCATGAGGATTAATTGTTGACGTTAGTCACTTGCGATTACGCCCGGCGATCCGCTGCATTATGTCCGGAGCCCCGCGTATTAATTATGTTGTTTGCGTTCTGATCGGCGAGGCGAAGTCCCGTCCGTTCTGTCAAAACAAACTGGGCGGTCGGAGAAGAAAAATATAATATACAAAGAACGAGCTCTAAAAAATGTTTGTATGTATAATTCCAACTGACAATTTTTATAACAAATATACCAGTAGCTCATTTCAATTTTAATTTTTTTTGTATCCTAATTCCCAAGATTACGTCTATGAAGTACTATTTGGTATAGTCTTTCCGATCTCAACTGAAGAACCAAGAGGTTGACAGTATGTACTCTAGGCATTGAAATATTTGAAAAACTTATTCCCATATTTATTTGGCCATACTAAGTTAAAGAACGAACGCGCGGGCAAACGCTGCACAAACACAGCCGCACTAGGCGACCTGGCTATAAATTCAGTTGTCAACAAATGGCCTAGCAGTGCAGTGCAGCAATGCGGAATTTGGTGTGAATCAAGTAATTTTAATTTATTATAGGCACCTTCTATTAGTCATGGCATTTTGGAGACCTTTTGAAACGGAACAACACGAAATTTACCATCAATATAATAAAATTGTTTGAGAACATAAATAATTAAAATATGTTGTTGGTCAAATGAACATATATCAGAAATTTTCTACACATTATATACAAATTATTATAATTTTTTACCTTTAGTAAAAAACTTAAAAGACGCCTATGAAACTAATTAAATTGTATTGTTAGGCGTTTTTATACATTTTAACTGACTTCGGATCTTCGAAAAGACTATAATAGCGCATGACTTGAAGTACCATTTGTTCCGTTGTTAATTTAGTTCAATAACTCTAGGAACTTGATGAAAAAGTGTAACAATGGTATACTGTGACAAGCGTATAAATTATTTTTATTGATATTGTTTTTGTTGTTGTTTCTGTTGTTAGTTTGTTTTTTTTTAATTTCGGCTGATAATTTTTTTTTTAAAGTAATTTTTTGTAACAAAAATACAAGTTGTTCATTTAATTTTTTTTTTTTTGTATTCTAATTCCCAAGATTGTGCCTGTAAAATACTATTTGGTAGCAGGGCATGACTTGAAGTCCCATTTGATCTGTTAATTTAGTTGATCGGCTGGCAAGTATCTACCAGCATATTAGATAGGAATCTGATGCAAAAGTGTAACAGTAGTAACATTTACTCTCCGAGCATATTGGGACAATCGTATATGTACAATGTGCATTATTATTGTCATTGCTTTTGTTATTGTTTGTGTTGTGGTTTTTGTTGCTATTTTTGTTATTTTCGTTTTTATTGTTGTTTTGCTGTATTTAATTCCAACTGATACTTTTTTTTAAACAATTTTTTTTTAAGCAAATATACAGGTTGTTTCAATCTAATATATTTCCAATACGCATGTGGAGCACCATTTGGTAATAGCACATGATTTGTGGTTTAATTTGTTTTACAGTTTAAGAATGTGAGGTAAAAGTGTAGCAATGTAGAAATTATTATTGTTATTGCTTCTGTTATTGTTTTTGTTGTTTTTTTGTTGATGTTTTTATTATTTTCGTTGTTGTTGTTTGTTTTGTTGTTTTTTAATTCCAGATAATTTTTTTATAACGAAATTTTTTATAACAAATATTCAGATTAATTTTTTTTGTATCCTAATTTCCAATGTTACACCTGTGGAGCAGTATGTATTTAGTATTAGCACATGATTTGAGGTCTCATTTGTACTCTAGTTAGTTTAGAAATTTGATGCAAAAGTGTAACAATGGCAACTGATCAGGATAAATCATCAGACACAATTCCAAGGTAATTATGTGAGTCAACCGCAGGAACAACTGTATTATTGATAAAATAAATAGTTTCATCTGCATATTGCTCTGTGTCAAAATAGTTAAATCGGATGAGTAAATTAAAAATAATAGTGGATCCAGTACAGATCCCTGGGGAATGCCACTAACCAGTCTAGATTATCAGAAAAGCTCCCTATCCGGTGAAGCAATTTCTTATGAGCACAAGCAACCTTCTATTAGGAAATAAAAACCTTGCTAAAATCAAGATGTAAAACTAGCTCAGGACGATTGTCACAGATCATGGAAAGACCCTGCTGGTTTCGCTTTTCTGCACCTAGAACCTCATTCTGGAGACACACGAAATGCTTATTATACGCTCAACCAATGTGAGCAAGACCTAGTCCAAGCCATCGACAATGCCACAAACATAATTCGTGAGCACGGAACAACTTTTGTAAGATAGAACACCATTGCCGGTTTCAACTGTCCCGCACATAATGGACAAGCTTTCGAACATTTTTTACTCGGAGCATCTACTTCATCTGATTTAAAGCAAATGATATCCATGGACGGCGCATGAATAGGGGTATATCACGTTCATATTTTTTCAAAGGTATTCAAACTGGATCAAAATAATTATTATCGCCAGAAAAAAGATCAAATGACTATTATAGACCGTACCTCATGTGTAAGAAGGGGCGGAGTACTAATACTTTATATCACGAATTTTCGGTAAAATAAAGACCTTACCTTTAAGGTGACGCTCTCGCCGGAGGCCTTGATCAGGTCGATGATGTCCTCCCTGGTCTTGCCCTCGACGGGGACGCCGTTCACCTCCAGCAGCTTGTCGCCGGGCAGAAGGCCCGTCTCGTTGTTGTGCTGCACCATGGTGCCGGGCTCGGCGAAGATGACGGCTCGCATGCTCACTCCCGAGACGTCGCCGCCCCCGCCTCCCCCGTATGTGTTGCGCTCGAGCACCATGGCGCGCCTCAAGGAGAAGCCGAAGTCGTTCCTCGGAGGTTTCTGGCGTTGGATGGTGAGGGTGCGCGGCTTCGGGAGCACCAGGGGTACGATGTCGGGCAGGGGCAGGTTGACGTCGTCGAAGTTGGCGGTCCTCGACCACCTGAAGCACGAGAAGTCTCATTTGTGATTTCACAAGGACGGAAAAAGGTATTTTATGGGTTTTCTCTTGACAAATATCCAAATATGTATATAAAATACTGAAGGAAGGACTTTCAGTATATCTACACGTCGTATTATGTTGCTAAGTTGGCAGTACCAATAACGACCAATAGTAGCGTCTTGTCGCTTAAGTGTAAATCTACGATATACTTGATTTAATCGTAAAAAAACACCAATGCAAATATTTCACTTTGTTGAAGAATTGTAAGCTGGAATTATTTATAACTCTAGGAATCTGTATTTATTTTTGCTAAAAAAATTGTTCTAAGGCACAAACTTCTGCAAACTGCGTTTATTTTGTGCCTCTATACCTGTCATTTGAAAGAAAATTAATAAAAAAAAATAGTTCCAACAAAATTCACCTAAAAAATAAATATTTATAACTATCCCCATGATCATTTAGTACACCTCAACAAATAACGAGGCCTAAAACAGATCCCTGCGGTACGTCGACCAGGTTATTACGAATTTAGGAGGAATTTCAGTTACCAATATTCAAAAATGTTGGAAAACAAAGAAAATGTTCGGTTAGACTCACCTGTGGAAGCCCTGGGACTCCCCCACGGGACTCAGGGAGAACGGCGGCGTGGCGAACGATGAATTCGTCGTGTCTGTGAGACTGTCCGCGCTGGGAGACGTGGAGGTGATCACCAACAGCTGCGACCCCATGTTCTTCCCCGTGCCGTTCATCCCGTTGTGTGGGGGCAGGTTCTGGTAGGCGATCATCTCGTTCTGCATAGTGTTCCGCGCCAGGCTGGCGTGGTGGTCGTCGAGGGCGTCAAAGCCGTTGCTGTGCACCTCCTGGTGGTGGCCGTTGCCCTCGTGGGTGACGCTGACCTTCGGCGTCTTGAGGATGCCCCTCTTGGGAGGTTTCGGAGGTAAGGGGGGCAGCGTCTTGTGGTTCTGGGGGTGGTTGAGCGAGTTCAGGCTGGTTTCCGAGCTGTCCGATTGGGTGTAGCCGTCGTGATGGTGATGGTGGTGGAGGTGGTTTGGGTGAGAGGGAGAACCGGGTAGGGTGGAGATGGGGGAGTCTGAGCGGTCCAGGCTGGCGAGGAAGTCGGCCGTGTAGTCGGCGGTGATGCCCGAAGGGAGTTTCTCCTTCTCCTTGCGCCGGCCGCGAATTTTGAGCGAGCGGCGCACCTGGAAGAAGAAGAGAAGGAGTAAATCGACGTTAAGAACTATGTGTTGATATAATAATAATTAAAAAGTGGGCTTCTGTTGATTAGAAATAAATTACCACGAAAAATATTGCTCCCGCCGGTTTAAAAGAAAAACAATTGAAAAAGAATAGGGACCATCTTGGACATCACCTTATACAGGGTGCCACCGACATGTTGCGTTGTAACAAACCGTTCGTCAATAGAATTACCAGCAACATACCGGTTTCGAACTTATTAGTTCTCATCACTAGTCTGGTTTTCATAGTATCTATAGATTAGTAGGTTGCTCTTTGCCAGTTATCTATAAGTTCTTTTTATTCCAATTTACTCCTTTATCGTCAAGATATGTGAATGAGACAAAATGTGGACATAATATATAAACAGTCCTACCGAATAAAAATATTCAATCAGAAAAACGAATGAGCATCATTTTCAAAAGATGAATAAAAAAATTATTTCTTTAGAAGCAGAAATTTTTTTGTGCAAAATGGTATGTCACAAATTTTTGACTAACATCGAATAGTGCAGCAGCAGTAGCAAGTTACATCACAATATTTTTTGCATTCTTTAAACAATAATTGTTTCGATTTTCAAAATTTACATGTTTATAATTTCGATTTATCTTATGTACCTATCAATATCTCTGTTTCATCCATTAATTCTTTTATAAAATTCGGTTGTTTCTCCTTTCGCAGGATTTTTTTACATATATCTAGATTGTTGTTCGATTCTAATATCTTAATAATAAAGAAGAATAGCGCCATAAAATGGGAATAATTACACAGGCCAACAAGGAAAAAATTCCAGAGATCAGACACTACGTTTCCGAAGACATTTGGCGCGCTGAATCCGAATCTGGCCTCAGAATTGATCCATCACCCTAGGTTTCCGAGATATTCTAACCTAAAAGTGCAAAAAACACGTATTTTTGCTATTTTCAAGGTTATGTAACTTGGCGAAAAAATTTTTTTTCTCAAAACTGAAAATATCATTGGAAACTACTATCTTTCCCCTTCAAAACGCATTTTTTTATTTGTAAAAAGCTTTATTTTTCGCGGAGATATCGTCGATTAAAGATGATCAGTATAGCTTCCTTATTAAACCATGGCTATAACACAATATCACTAAGCGCTACGAGCCTTAGAGGGCTCGCAGCGCTTAGTGTTATTGGGTAATAGGGCTTGAAGTTAACCTTCCTGACGATTAGGGCTCACAGCGCTTAGTGTTGTGGGGTTATAGGGCTTGGGATTAACCTTCCAGACATATAGGGCTTGGGGTTAACCTTCCTGACGATTAGGGCTCGCAGCGCTTAGTGTTATTGGGTTATAGGGCTTGAAGTTAACCTTCCTGACGATTAGGGCTCACAGCGCTTAGTGTTGTGGGGTTATAGGGCTTGGGATTAACCTTCCAGACATATAGGGCTTGGGGTTAACCTTCCTGACGATTAGGGCTCGCAGCGCTTAGTGTTATTGGGTTATAGGGCTTGAAGTTAACCTTCCTGACGATGAGGGCTCGCTCCGCTTAGTGTTGTGGGGTTATAGGGCTTGGGGTTAACGTTCCTAACAATTAGGGCTAGCAGCGCTCAGTGTTATGGGGTTAGCCATGATGTAATAATATAGCCATACTGGTCATCTTAAATTGACGATATCTCCGCGAAAAATAGAGCTTTTTCCAAATAAAAAAATGCGTTTTGAAGGGGAAAGATAGTCGTTTCCAATGATGTTTTCAGTTTTAAGAAAAAAATTTTTTTCGCCAAGTTACATAACCTTGAATATAGCAAAAGTACGTGTTTTTTGCACTTTTAGGTTAGAATATCTCGGAAACCTAGGGTGGTGGATCAATTCTGAGGCCAGATTCGGATTCAGCGCGCCAAATGCCTTCGGAAGCGTAGTGTCTGATCTCTGGAATTTTTTTTTTTTGAAATTTTGTCGGCCTGTGTTATTCACCCCGTACAAAGCAATGCTTTGTGCCACTACGTGTTGACTTCCAGTGACAATTACGACACACACACACTTTGTAGGTTATATATCCCCCATACTGATTACTTTCGTCAAAATAAACATAAAACAAAGATTACATAAAAAAAAATTTCTAAGGGTTCTTTCAAATATTACACATGAAACAAGTGAAGATATAGACCTAAAACTTGGTATAGTGCAATTCCTACGCTATATGAAAGAAACCTAACCAGTGGCGTTGGTTTGGGGGGATTTTAAATATCAAAAGTTGTTCGATAAAGCCGTAGGAATCTTGTACAGATGAGGATAGATTAACTTTACGGTAGCTTTTATTTGCTCTCTTGAGTTTCCTTATTTCCCTTAGAAAAACCTATTAACACTATTATTTTCATCTAATATTCCAACAATTAGATGTAGGTATGCAATTTAACGGGTGACCCAAAATTCACGTAAAATTTGAATTATGCGACCCTTTTGCGGTAGAAAAAAAAAGACGGCGTGACAGCTGACAGTGCAGGGTTATTATATAAAATTACAGCGCTACCCGAAAGAACAACGCGTTTTCTTTGTTGAACAATATTTTGCAAATAATGAAGGTTTGGCAGCTACAGTTTACAATCTTAAACACTCTGGCCGTCCTTCAATAAGTCGTTCAATACAAAACATTGAAGCAGCTCGTGAGAGTGTTGCTGAGAGTCCAGGAACATTAATTAGACACCATGGTAAAGAATTGGACATTTCGAGAAGCTCTTTACAGCGTATTCTCACGAAAGATTTGCATATTCATGCTTACAAAGTTTAATTGACTCAATGACTGAAGCCTACTGACCACGCAGAGCGTTAATCGACAAAATTGTCGCATTTGCGGTTCAGAAAATCCATGAGTGATTGTTGAGATACATCCATAACGTGTCACTGTTTGGTGAGGATTTTGGGCTGGAAGCATCATGGGACCATTCCTCATCGAAAATGCGGCTGGTCAGGCATTAATAGTTACAGGTGCTCTCTATCGTAACATGATAATCCAGTTTTTTGTATCTAAATTGCAAGATATGGATGTAGACGACATGTGGTTTCACATACCATACAGTCCGAGAAACAATTCAATTATTGCACGAATCATTTCCTGGTCGTGTAATTTCCCGTTTTGTCCGCCCAGATCACGCGATTTAACGCCGTTGTACGTTTTTCTTTGGGTTTTTTTGAAGTCCAAATTTTATGCCAACAAGCCCACGAGCACCCACGCCTTCAAGGAGGAAATGACTGTATCAACGAAATTCAGCCGCATGCAAAACGGTCATGGAAAATTTCGATAAAAGAGTGCGTGGAGGCCATTTATCAGATACGCTATTCCATACATAACCTTATACTGTGTACTTTGTGGATCAATAAAAAATTTACAATTTTTAATTATAAAACTGTGTTTTCTATCAAAATTATTTCTTGAGTGAATTTTGGGACACCCTTTAGAACAGTTGAAACTTAGACGTTATAATTTTCACCTATGCCCAGCGGTTAACAAGCTCCTAATATTGTCAAGGTTTTTGGACTTTTAACAATGAATTCGACAAATAAATTAAAAACTACGAAAATTTTCGCAATATCGGAAACGTACATTGAACACTCTAATGAGAATAGAATTCCTAGTTTCAAATAGATTACCTTCGAAAGCATCCGATTCAGTTACTCCATTAGCATCAATACAATCCATCGAAAAATTGTTCTTGCACCACAATCGAAGCTTTAGAACGAGATATGGATTTAAAAGATTGGCGCTTATCTCCACATATGGAATAAACTTTAACCTCTGTTTTGCATATTGAGAACTTCAACTACCAATTTTCGAACAAAGAAACCAATTAATTAGAGTTGCAAAGTTTGTTCAATTGAAATAAACAAATTTTCAAAGATAGTTGTCACATTTTGAAGCAATTTATCCAATTAAATTAATAAGTAACAGCTGCATGAAAAAGACGTTCCTGTGACATTTTATGACAATTTTCCAAAAAAAAAAAATGTTTACCTGTAGAAGAACCTCTGAAATAGTCATTTGTTACCCTAACTAAATATTCACATCAACAACTGTCACTTTTGCACAGAGAAAAAATAATTTTTGAACCTTTACGCCCAACAATTCATTGTCAGACCATCTGAATGACTGGTAGCTGCTGGTAAAATCCATAGAAATATCAAAAATTAAACATGGGGCGGAATCGGCGAAACCCTTAAGGCCTACGTCACGCACTATCTATCTTCTGTGGCCTCCAACAAAGGCCATTATCACATTTGTAAATAACATACTCTTAACGCCCATCTGCCCCATAACGACTGCGTGCCTCTGTGGGACCGTGCAACTATATCAAAAGGTCAACAAACGAGGTGCTTGCACAGTTTCCGTTGTAATGTTTTACCAACGTAACCATATTATGACCGTAATAACTTTCTAATACAACAAATGATACAAATCATTGCACACAATGAGGGCTATTTTCTTCGTATTAGATAATGAAATTATTATGATGGATCCTGGCCAGTATACACTAGTCACAAAATTTAAAGGATAAACAAAATCNGGTATGTCACAAATTTTTGACTAACATCGAATAGTGCAGCAGCAGTAGCAAGTTACATCACAATATTTTTTGCATTCTTTAAACAATAATTGTTTCGATTTTCAAAATTTACATGTTTATAATTTCCATTTATCTTATGTACCTATCAATATCTCTGTTTCATCCATTAATTCTTTTATAAAATTCGGTTGTTTCTTCTTTCGCAGGATTTTTTTACATACATCTAGATTGTTGTTCGATTCTAATATCTTAATAATAAAGAAGAATAGCGCCATAAAATGGGAATAATTATTATTCACCCAGTACAAAGCAATGCTTTGTGCCACTACGTGTTGACTTCCAGTGACAATTACGACGACACACACACACACACACACACTTTGTAGGTTATATCTCATCCCTACTGATTACTCTCGTTAAAATAAACATCAAACAAGGATTACATTAAAAAAAAAAGATTTCTAAGGGTTCTATCAAAGATTACAGATGAAACAAGTGAAGATATAGACCTAAAACTTGGTATAGTGCAATTCCTGCGCTATATGAAAAAAACCTAACCAGTGGCGTTGGTTTGGGGGACTTCAAATATCAAAAGTTGTTCGACAAAGCCGTAGGAATATTGTACAGATGTGGATAGATTAACTTAACGGTAGCTTTTATTGGTTTCATTTGCAAATAAAGCTTTTGTCTCTTGAGTTTCCTTATTCTGTTAAATGCATCGTTCACGGTTAAAAACACAACAATGATAAATGCTCGTCAGTAGCGTATCATAGAGAAAAACCTATTAACACTATTATTTTCATGTAATATTCCAACATTTAGATGTAGATATGTAATTTAACGGGTGTCCCAAAATTCACGTAAGATTTGAATTATGCGACACTTTTGCGGTGGAAAAAAAAAGACGGCGTGACAGCTGACAGTGCAGGGTTATTAAATAAAACTACAGCGCTACCTGAAAGAACAACGCGTTTTCTTTGTTGAACAATATTTTACAAATAATGAAGGTTTGGCAGCTACAGTTTACAATTTTAGTACAAAATAAATAAATAATGATTTAATTTCATCAACTGTGAAGATATTGAATGAAAAATTCAGGGAGAGTGGATCAAATTGATATTAAAATTGATATTGAACTGAACTGAACTGAAATTGATTTTTGATTGACATTAAACATTCTGGTCCTTCAACAAGTCGTTCAATACAAAACATTGAAGCAGCTCGCGAGAGTGTTGCTGAGAGTCCAGGAACATTAATTAGACACCATGGCTAAGAACTGGACATTTCGAGAAGCTCTTCACAGCGTATTCTCACGAAAGATTTGCATCTTCATGCTTACAAAGTTTAATTGACTCAATGACTGAAGCCTACTGACCACGCAGAGCGTTAATCGACAAAATTTTCGCATTTGCGGTTCAGAAAATCCATGCGTGATTGTTGAGAAACATCCATAACGTGTCACTGGTTGGTGAGGATTTTGGGCTGGAGGCATCATGGGACCATTCCTCATCGAAAATGCGGCTGGTCAGGCAATAATAATTACTGGTGCTCTGTATCGCAACCTGATAATCCAGTTTTTTGTATCTAAATTGCAAGATATGGATGTAGACATGTGATTTCACATACCATACAGTCCGAGAAACAATTCAATGATTGCACGAATCATTTCCTGGTCGTGTAATTTCCCGTTTAGTGAGCTGAATTGTCCGCCCAGATCATGCGATTTAACGCCGTTGTACGTTTTTCTTTGGGATTTTTTGAAGTCCAAATTTTATGCCAACAAGCCCACGAGCACCAATGCCTTCGAGGAGGAAATTGAGGGCTGTATCAACGAAATTCAGCCGCATGCAAAACGGTCATGGAAAATTTCGACAAAAGAGTGCGTATCTGCCAGCAAAGCCGTGGAGGCCATTTATCAGATACGCTATTCCATACATAACCTTAATTTTTAATTATAAAACTGTGTTTTCTATCAAAATTATTTCTTGAGTGAATTTTGGGACACCCTTTAGAACAGTTGAAACTTAGACGTTATAATTTTCACCTATGCCCAGCGGTTAACAAGCTCCTAATATTGTCAAGGTTTTTGGACTTTTAACAATGAATTCGACAAATAAATTAAAAACTACGAAAATTTTCGCAATATCGGAAACGTACATTGAACACTCTAATGAGAATAGAATTCCTAGTTTCAAATAGATTACCTTCGAAAGCATCCGATTCAGTTACTCCATTAGCATCAATACAATCCATCGAAAAATTGTTCTTGCACCACAATCGAAGCTTTAGAACGAGATATGGATTTAAAAGATTGGCGCTTATCTCCACATATGGAATAAACTTTAACCTCTGTTTTGCATATTGAGAACTTCAACTACCAATTTTCGAACAAAGAAACCAATTAATTAGAGTTGCAAAGTTTGTTCAATTGAAATAAACAAATTTTCAAAGATAGTTGTCACATTTTGAAGCAATTTATCCAATTAAATTAATAAGTAACAGCTGCATGAAAAAGACGTTCCTGTGACATTTTATGACAATTTTCCAAAAAAAAAAAATGTTTACCTGTAGAAGAACCTCTGAAATAGTCATTTGTTACCCTAACTAAATATTCACATCAACAACTGTCACTTTTGCACAGAGAAAAAATAATTTTTGAACCTTTACGCCCAACAATTCATTGTCAGACCATCTGAATGACTGGTAGCTGCTGGTAAAATCCATAGAAATATCAAAAATTAAACATGGGGCGGAATCGGCGAAACCCTTAAGGCCTACGTCACGCACTATCTATCTTCTGTGGCCTCCAACAAAGGCCATTATCACATTTGTAAATAACATACTCTTAACGCCCATCTGCCCCATAACGACTGCGTGCCTCTGTGGGACCGTGCAACTATATCAAAAGGTCAACAAACGAGGTGCTTGCACAGTTTCCGTTGTAATGTTTTACCAACGTAACCATATTATGACCGTAATAACTTTCTAATACAACAAATGATACAAATCATTGCACACAATGTAGGCTATTTTCTTCGTATTAGATAATGAAATTATTATGATGGATCCTGGCCAGTATACACTAGTCACAAAATTTAAAGGATAAACAAAATCATACATTTTTAGGTGATTTTCAAAACTTCGCGCTTCGTGGTCGTAAAGCAATAAGAAAAAAACAATTAGAGAAGCTTAAAGTTTTAGTTTCAGAATCTGAAAGTCAAAAATGTTTATTCAAATATCTGCAACTTTTCTCGATTCCTACACTTTTCCACTCGGAAAAGTCCAAAAACATAGCAATTTCCCGAGGTCTTGAAAAGTCAAGACCACATTTTTTTTTAGCTTAAGTTACTGGAAATTTTGTTGCAAATGCCGATTTAAATTTGTCCGACAGAAATTCTTCCGACATTGACGTGTCTACCAGCCGAAACATGCCAAAAAGACAGGGTATTGAAAATCAATTACCACATAGGTAATTTTTAGTAAAATTAATTGTAAATAATTAATTCAGTCAAAAAGTATTGTTGTCCGACAAATTTCAAGCCGCGTTTTTTTAGTCCGACAGGTGGAAATCGGAATTTTCACGGGGTATGATAAATCGCAACAAAAGTGTCAATTTTAATCATTTGGCTCACAATGAATGAAAAATCGTAGCGGTTTGAACTTTTGAGGGTTTCTTTGGGATACCTTGAGGTTAAAGAAAATGATATTTGCAAAGTTATCTCAAGTTTAGTGAAAATCCTTAAATAAACAATTTTTCACCTCTTTTTGGAAAGTTTCTTGCATCAATTTTTTTTATCAAAAACGTCATTTTTGCTTTGAACGACGGTAACAGCAATAAATCATCGAACAAAGCTCTTGAACAGCTCAAATTAAAGAGAATTATTAAATCAATTGACAGGTAGACCTTTTGAAAGGAAATTTTGAAAATTTTTACCGCTTGATTTCTTATGATTTGTTAAAGGTGGTCAATAATAAAAAATTTTAAATCTCATCATGAACATAGAAACTTTAAGCTTCTATTTTATTTTTTTATCGCTCTATGTCGTTTTTAATTTTTGTGACTAGTTTATACGTAAAAGAAAGGTGCACCAATTTTATTAAATTATTTACAAAAATGAGAATAGACCCTTCAATTTAACAAAGGACTAGACACCTCCAAAAGTTTTTGACGGACTATACCTTAGGTCCAAAATTGTATGCAGTAGAGGTCGAGAACTATCGATAGTTGATACCATCGATAAACTATCGATAATTAAGTTTTCCATTATCGGTAATTATCGACATTTTTTGATAGAAAGAAAAAAAAAGTTTATTCAAAAAAAAAACGAGATTAATAAGTTTTTTTTAAAGTAAAATTGTGAAAATCTACCCCATATCTCCAAAAAAGATTAAATATAAGGTAGAAATTATACAAGCAACGGAATTATACAGAGTGTTTCTGAAATAAGTACATTCCTTGAAAAGGGAGATAGAGGGCACGAAATTGAGCAACTTTTATTAAGCAACTGATAGTTTAAATGCTTCTGTTTTCGAGAAAATTAATTAAGAAAATTAACCATAAATGTAAGCCGACCCTGTGAATCTTGTGCACGTGCGTTGTCTGTTACAGTATTACTTACCCGACGTATAAAATGTTTTCTGATCAAGAACTAGCAGATATGGTGTTAATGTACGGATGTCAGTACAATTTAAATGGGACTTGTTGTCTTGCGTATTTGCACGTATGCGGACTAATTTTAACCATCGTTTGGAAGCATGTTTATTAGCAAATGGACACAACTATGAACAATTTTTGTAGAGCATATCGTCTATCGGTTAAGTAATTCCACTGGCTTAAAGTCTATTATTCAAAAATCCGACGTATAATTATTATTAGTCGCCGTCCCTTCCCAGAAAGTGCATTTAATCCCGTAGAGAACCATTCGCATGATTCCATTTTTAACGACACTTATTGGAATAACTAATTTACGAAAATAATCTCGTCTTTCCCACTTATACGCTTATGACACGCACAGACACGCACTGACACGTCGCATCAGCTGGAATCTGAGATGGGGCGAATGTCAAGAAGTCAAGTCCGGCGCGCTGACTGAACATATTATCGGAACACTGTGCGAAATAAACGACACATTACAATTTTTTCACAGAATAGATTCTTCCACTACAGAAATACCCATTTTTTTGGTTTCAGAGTACTCACCTCGTCCAAGCGGAGCAGCTCCTCTGCCGACATGCTGGCCCGCTCCCTTTTTTGCTTCTCCTTCCGGTCCTTCTTGTCCCGCTTCCGCTTCTCCTTCTCCTCTTTGTCGGACGTCACTCCAGTCACAGTGGCTTTCTTGATGAAACTGAACATTATTGGGGCCGGTTACCTTAAACAGAGGAGAAAATAAAAGTGAATGATTTCAGCCATACACTTACTTTGCGATAAATATGTGTTTGATAGCGTTAATCAGGTATTCTCTGACTTCACACCTGTGGAATTCGCCAATTCCATAATATTTTTCACTATAACTACGACCTTTCAGAAAAAAAGGTAGTTTTGATTCTGGGTTTCTACTTTTTCTGTTTTTAATTCCATACGTATCCTTTTTCTAATTTTTTATATAAAGTGTCCCATAATCAGCCTGCCAAACCTAATCACTTCATTTTAAGTTCAAAAAATAAAATGCAGCGATAAAGCTTGGCTGCCTTATATTTTTTGTGGAGTGACAGAACATTCGTGGTCAATTTTATTCAAAAATGGTACCGAAGTCTCACAAAGCATTCATCTTCTGTGACAAAAATTGTAAATTTCCTTCGAAAATTAGTCACAAAAAAGCTGCAGTAATTTTGAAGCCCATCGCATTTAACATACCACATTTGTACGAATGGTGGCGTAATAAATACAGGGTGATTCACAACTTATCCAAAACAATTTGGGAATAGATGCGGTATGAGAAATGGAGTCAATATTGTAAAAAAAAATTTTTGTAAAATCCTTATAGTTTCCGAGAAAAAAATTATTGAAGTTGTAGTGCTTTCAACCATTACATAGCTGGACAACTGTAGTCTCTAGTGTCATTCGTAATACGCCTGGAGCGCCACGTGGCCTCAGCGACTCCGAATACTGAAATCCGATGTTTATAATAGTTTTTTAGTAGTTAGTGTCAAAAATGGCTTGCGTGTATAGCAACTCGGAGTTGATGGATATTGTTTTAGTTTATGGTGAAGCAAGAAAACATTTGTATTATGGTGAAGTATTTGTATTATGGTGAAACAAGACAGAATTTGTGTTAGTTCGTAGAAACTGAGTAAGACGGACCCAAATGTGTTTACACGTCGGTGGACAAAATTTTGAACAGTTATTGTGACATCAGGTATGTCAAATTATTTTATTATTTAAAACCACAAATGAATTTTATTAATTAATAATAACAATAGCGGTAAAATCAGTTAAATTTGCTGATATACAGTAGGTGCTATAAAATTCTAGTTATTCTAGTTTTTGCCCGTTTTTATCACTGCCGCCTTGACGGTCGCATTGTGTCAGGTTTTACAGTGGACCAGTTTCCAGTGCCGTGCAGAAGTGTATTTTTAAATCATTTTCGAACTGCACTTTTTGATTTTTTTTACAAAATTGTATTTGTAAGAGTCCCCTGTACATCCAGAATTTTTTTTGGATAAGTTCTGAATCACCTTGTATATATCTATCTATCTATCAGAAAGCATTTTCGGGCTATTTGTTAGAATTTTAGTGTAATGGGTGGTTAGATCTGTACACAATTTAATCGTTTTATTTGCTTGTCATAAAATTGCCCAATCTTAGGGCAATTACGATTATTCGGAACACTTCTAGAGAAAAAAAATTATCGACTCACTCGAGATATCCCATAAATCAAATGTATATGACAGTAATATTATCACTTTATTTGATAAATCTGAGATAAGTTAAATTTCACAAATGTTTTCGAGGAGAGATACACAAAAATAAATTTAAACGAAAAGTAGACTTGTATTGATAACAGTTTAAGAGTTATTTTCTTTATTTATTATTAAGTACGCCCTTGCACCAAAAGGATCAATGAAGGGTTATTTTTATGAAAAGAGTTTTGTCTAATCAAAAATTTCACACTGAAAAAAACCACACAAATACAAAATACACATCACTGAACAGAACGTAACAAAAGAGCCGGTCATCGCATTAATGTGTATTTTTGTAGACAAAAAATGACGATTTTTCCTGTGTACAAAAACTCCTCCCTTAAAAGATGCAGGGTGTTAAACTTGAACGATCAAAATAGTTTTTTTTGTAATATTTTGTCAATTTTTCACGTATCAGTTTGGAATCTAGTAGTAGTAGTAGTAGTAGTAGTAGTAGTAGTAGTAGTAGTAGTAGTAGTAGTAGTAGTAGTAGTAGTAGTAGTAGTAGTAGTAGTCAAGGTTATTACTGTAAACTACTCCTAAGAAACAAACATAAAAACTAGGGGGAAAGGGTTACTTTGTACTTTGGACGATTTATCCCAATGTAGTAGCGTAAAATTTTATTTACATTATTTTATTACCCACGACAATTTTTCGTTCTTTTTCGGGATAAATTCGAATTTTGAAAGTCATGCAACCTAAAAAAAGTCCTAGTCCTAGAGAAATGAGTTGCACTTAATGTCAAAATTAAAAAAACGCTCAAGGAATAATTAGTTGATAATCTACGAGGTTTTACCAATGAGAATTTTGTTTTTGAGAATACTGTAGTAAAACAAATTATGTCAGACACCAAAGGGAAATTGTATCCACAATAAAATTTCCATATATTCCTGTATTATCGGAAAAATTTAAGACATGTAACAAATTTAATATTAGAACAGTTTTTCATGCAACTAGTAGGTATGTACTTAACGAACTTTTTTGTAAAAAACGCGCCCAAATAATGATTTTCCAAATTCTAGAATTTGCATCTACAGCAAACTTTACGAATCGGATAAACATTGCGTTGGCGTTTTATAGACAAGAAATCGCACTTTTAGTAATATAATTTTTTGTATAAAATCCATCTAACAAGGTGTCCCGTAATTAATTGGACATTAGCTAAGAGGTGATAGCTGGCAGCAAAATCAAGCGTTTGGGTCCAACATGCCTTAGCAAAATGCTGCTCGTTTTTGTTCTACAGGGTGTTTCATTATTTTTCTTTCCAATCATTTTTTGAAATATTTTGAAAGCTGTTGAACGGATTTCGATGAAATTTAGTTTTCGTGTTATTGCTTAGCATGCATAATATGAAAATGGTGTCAATTTCACCATTGCCGCTAGATGACGTCACCTACATCAACATTGGTCTATTAACATGGCCATAATTTTTTGGTTCATTATATTTTGACTCTCCCCTTTAACTTTTTTGTTATAAAAGTTATAAAAAAAATGTGAAATACAAAATTTGCGCGACTTTTTATGAATTTCTCGAAAATGATAGTTGAAATCCAAACAAAATGGCCGTTGGTGTTAACTTTGTTGATTTAAATAAGGTTGCGCTCTTATGCGAGAACAACAATTTTACTGGACATACAGGCAGACCATATCCCGCATTTGAAAAATCATAATGACGTGGAATTTTAACGCAAATAATAATAATTAAGTGGTTAATAAAGAAACTTACTCAATATCACTGTACTTTGACAAATTGTAGTACACAAATCCCTGGCTGATTACACCTTTGCAAAAAGTAAATACATACTTGTGCATCTTATTGAAAAATTACTTTTAATTCGAAAATTGTCTACTCTTTAGACTTCAAAGAAGTATACCTATTGCGAAATTAAATGCCATGTCTTTATTTCTGTCCGAGAATGTACGTACAGGGTGGACAAAAAAGTTATGGACATGTAAATGAACCAATGTTGCTGTAGGTGGCGTCATTTAGCGGCAATGGTGAAATTGATACCATTTTCATATTACGCATGCAATTTCAAAAAATAATTGGAAATAAAGTTAATGAAACACCCTGTAGAACGAAAACGAGTAACATTTTGCCAAGGCATATTGGGCCCAAACGCTTTACTTGGATGCCAGCTATCACCATTAGCTAATGCAAAATTAATTATGTGACACTCTGTATAAAATGTTGAAATACAACGATTCCTTTAATTTTTTGCAGTGAAAGATCACGGAAAGCATGGGTGCCCATGTACACATCAGAATGTGTAGTACTTGAATAATGTTTCTAACTTGCGTAGATTTTGTAAAACCCTTGTCAAATGACTGCTATAAATTAACTGAAAATTAAACATAGACACCCCAATATGAACGATTGGAACTATTTTAGTGTCAAAAATCATAGAACTCTGGACAGAAAAAAGATAAAAAGGTTTAGCAAGCGGTATTTTAAAGGTAAAAGGATTACCTTTTAGGGAAAATTATCAAAAATGCGCTCGATTTATTAGGCTGCTCTCAGGGAACGTTTAAACCTCGCTTTTTTAAATTTTTTTCGATTTTTTCGAATTCTTTCCTCATCTGACTATTCAAAAATACAATTTTTTTCAGAAAGTAAATTAAAAAATCTTCAATTTCCATTTTGGTAAAATTTATTTGACCTATTATATATCTTGAGTGATTGTCATTCGAAAAGTTCAGTGTTCATAAATTTAGTTTCTAACAGTGTTATATTAAATTAATTTGTCCGTTTTCATTCAAGTTCATTTAAAAAAATATTTTTTATTAAAGTATACATTAAATGTTGGATAATTTATTAAAGTTTTAGACTGAAATACACAAATGTTTGGTTTTTAAAGATTTTTTTGGACTTCACTTACTTTTTACGTAAAAGGTAAGTCTCAAAAAATCTAAATGTTTCGTTATAGCAACGGATATTTATCCCGAGATTGAAGCATGAATATGTTTTTATGTAGGGGTAATAGTTTTAGAGAAAAGATAACCTGACCTTACCTCATAATCGAGTTCAAAATCTTTTTCTCTGAAATAATTGATTTAATGTATGACTTTTTTCTTGTTTGTGTGATAAATTTAATTATAGCAGACTTCATTTTTCAGCGTAATATAATGTCTCTAATTGAACGGTAATTGTAGCTCAAGTATGACTTCGAGTAGAAAATGCATTCATGCAGATTGGATGATCCTACCTATTCTCAAAATTAGAAAAATAAAAATAATACACTCGGAAATATACATTTTCCCCAATATAGCCATTTTATCTGTAAAGTGATTTAATCCAAATGTAGTATTCTTATATCCAAATCGGTATGAAGAAAACTCTAGTTTATAATTTATATCATAATTAAATGAACTTGAATGAAAACGGACAAATTAATTTGATATAACACTGTTAGAAACTAAATTTATGAACACTTAACTTTTCGAATGCCAATCACTCGAAATATAATAA